GCTTATTGTATGACTTGGTAGTTGATTAGAAGTCTCAGATAATGTTTTGTGACATTCAAAGTGTAATACTATTGACTACAAATCCAGTTCATCATACTTGTACCAAGCACATTGATGTAAGGTACTATTTTGTTTGAAACCTGATTGAAGAAGACAAGTTTCTATTGAAGAAGATAGATACAAAGAATAATATATCAAACATGCTCACCAAGGTACTACCAGTCCAGAAGTTCACCTACTGTAGAAGCTTATTGAACATCTGAACTCAGGACTGATTGCCCGGAAGGGCATTTTAAAAAACTAGTGAGGTTTGATCCATTCGGAAGGGGAGGTACGTAAGCAAATATCTTAGTGCAACTAAATTAAAGTTTGGAGCTCATTTGATCATCTCTCACTTATATGAAAATAAGAGATGATGTGGAGATTGTTGTATTTTATGGTATTATTTTAATTAGGGGTTATCTGATCTTTTGACTTTGTTTACTTGTATGGCTTATTCATCCTTCATAAAAGAGACTTAAGGGCTTATGAGATTTGCGTTGTGAGAAGTGTTGAGTAGTAATCTCAAGTCATTCTTCTTTCTCCCATCCGGTGCTAGTGGAATCTCCTTCCCCGTGGACGTATGCGAATTAAACTAACACCGAACCACATAAATCTTTTTTATTTGATTGTTGTTGTGTGAACTTTTACGCTTTCACATTATTTTCATACAACAATATGAATGTTTTCGGTGACGTAAAAAAAATAAATAAATGTAAAGTACATCATTAGATATGTAAATGCAAAAACAATTGGATGGCATGTATGTAAATGCCCCTAAAAAATATGCTAGCATTGTACTCTCATTTCTAATATTTTTAAAATTTAAATTGGAGGGATAAATATAGTCTTACACATTGTTTCTTATAGAACTAATCTTTAATATAAAAATGTTGTGGGGGTGTAGCTCATATGGTAGAGCGCTCGCTTCGCATGCGAGAGGCACGGGGTTCGATTCCCCGCACCTCCAATAACTGCTATTTCGTTTTTGTTTTTCTTATTTATTTAATTTTGAATTGATAAAGATTATACTTTGGAAAGTCTAAGAAGAAAGAACAACGATTTCAATATGTCAGTCAGCGCGCATAGCTATAGTTAAGAAAAGAATATAAAATATAATTTGCACAACCAAATAGAAGAAGCTAACTATTTGTTCTGAAATCATGTAATTTTCAAGTGCTTATTTTCATAATCAATAGGCTTTTCAGGTGTTTTAACTCACCCATCAATGAATCAAATTTGAACCAATTTTATTCTATTGATACTTTCAATATTTATATGGATGAAAATTGGCAAGAAAATTATAGTATTTCATTAAGGGGGCTTTACACCAACTCTCAGAAGTTGATGTTGAGTCCTTGTCCTCATAGAGAGGAATGTCGATGGCCCTTACATCTTAAATAGGAGGAGAATAGGTAAATCAGAGGATGGTCGTGCTTCCGTTCAAGGAGGGGCTTATATCCAACAAGCAAGAGAGAGTAAGTTTGTGTATGTTTTACAAATTTTGTTCAGTTAAAGGTTGTTCTGAATTATCCGGTGTTTTAAATATTATTGGGTATAGGAAAAGCTTTCATGTGGGTAATTTGAGCTTTTATTTTTGGACAAATTATATTAATTTGAGTTGATATTAAAGTTGAGAGATTCAAGATGCAACGTTTATTCAAAGAAGTGCCAAAGTGGATAATAAGATCAAATTAGTTCAGATTTGATTTGATGAATTGAGGAATTAAATTAAAAAAAAAATGAAAAAAAAATATGAATTAATAAACCTAAAGAGTAATATTAGTGACTATTTTGCAATAGTATAGAAAAGGACAAGAATATATAATGGTTATTTATATGTCATTATAATAAACCTAAATTAAAAGAAAAATAGACAAACTATCATATTCTCATTGCCAACAATATTTGCATTGTTATAAACTACAATCGTTAAGATTAAGTTTCTCTTTTTAAGAAATTGACAAAAGTGATGTACCTTCAGAAACTAGCTCCATGCTACTCTCATCAACAAAGTTAGGGCACACATCTTTTCTATCAGCGCACTTCCAAGTTAAGCATATATAGTCTCTATTACATCATTTATCAATAAGTCAACATTGACACCTCTTAGTTTTGCAAGTTGAGCTTTTTGAGCAGAAGAAGCGAATATGTGCATCCGTGTTACTAATAATGTTTTGATCTTTATAATAGATCAACTTTTCTATTTGTTGTATTTTTATGAAATTCAAATCTTTTTTTAATCAAACCCATCATCTTATATGTCAAGTTTGTCTTTTGAGTCCAATGCATCCATATGGACTGAAATTTTCTTACTTTTTTGTGGAACTTGTATAAAAGATTGACAAGATAAACAATAATTATAAGCCAGCATCCAATTTTTTATAAATATTTAACTTAGGTTTAAATTATGTCTCAACATTAAGAATTAAAATTAGATAAATACTTGATTGTATAAAGTGGGTTCAATAATTGATAAAAAAACTACAAGATGATATTCTTATGAAGAGCAAGAAGAGCACAAATTACATTTAGCATTTAACTTTAATAAGGAATAGAAAACCAATTTTAATAGATTTGTGTGTTTTTTCAACATGTCGACCTCATCACATGGCTTCCTATTGCATCCTGATTCAATCTTCGAAATTGTGCATCAGCTTTAACTAATCTAGTAATATATTAAGAAGTAGAATTCTAGAAAGATATATGGTTCTTTTGGGGCGGCCGTGCGGTGTCGGTGCGGCACTGCACCACAGACTTTGTCGGTTTGGGTAAACTGTGTTTTGATAATTTTTTCAAAAAGCTACCGTTGAAATTTGTGTTTTCCTACCGGTCATCACTAGATACGGTGGCAACTTTCTAGCCGCGATTTAACTTTTTCAAAAAAAAAAAAAAATGTAATAGCCACCGCAGCTTTTTAAATATTAGATTATTTTTAAGCAGCTTCACAACTGTTTTTTAATAAGTTGTAGCTGCCCCCAAACAGACTCATAAAACTATGAAAAGAGAAAACGCTACACAAAGAATCAAAATCCATTAGAAGCTTTACCCTTAGCATTTCTTGTGAAAAAAGAATTACTAATGATTCAATTGGGAAATTTTATTTTCTTAAACTTAGCACATTAGAAGCAATCAATTCAAAGTTAATGTTTCTTAAGCTACTAAGCTTCTTTGAAGAATTAAAGATATATAGGAGCCTAGAGTTACTAAGAGAAAGAAAATGCTTATCTTAAACAATTAAAGAAAACTTCAAGTGGGATCACCGCTTCTCAATCATTACTATGCTGGGTACTATCGCTCGGTCGCTGCCACTATTGTGGTACACCATTCTTGTTGTCAGATCAATATCTCTCAGCCGTCACTGCCATCATCATGATATGTTGTCATTGTCAATTTGACATTGAAAAAACACCATCTTTTAGTGATCACTACTATTATCATTGGATCATTGTTGTCTAGCAACCACCACCATCAGTGACAATGAAATCCAAATTGCTATCACACTACTCTTATTATTGGTCTTCCATTGTTATAGATGAGTTACTGTCCCTAATATTTTTTATCACTTCTCTAATAAATATAAAGTTAGTTTCCCTCACTATTATAATATTATTTACGTTGTTCAAGAGCACACAAAAGCTTATAACATACATATGAATACTGGAATCGTTTCAACTAAACTAGATAACGTGGTATTTTCCCTCCTAGTTTTTCCATGTAATAACCCTGATGTCTCTTCTAATAGCTTTTCTTCTACCTGGGCATATGCGTTGAATTTTTGTATACTGTTAAGACGTTAATATATCTCTATCGCCGCAAATTCTTAAGAAAAAGAAAATTATATTAAATTTTGTATTTTATCTATTTTCTTAATTTTGAGTGTTAATGTAAACCTCAAATTTTAATAACCCACCAACCATACTTCCACTTTTTATCCTTTTAAGGTAGTAAATTTTTTCCCCTCCTATATATATAAAAAAAAAAACACAGAAAATTAAGTTAATGTGATTCATAATTGAAGAAATACATCATTATTTGTTTTATTGGAGAAATACACTGACAGAAATTTTGGGACAAAATCAAATCAAAATGAACTCCTTCCTTTCATAAATTGCTTATGGACTTTATATCATTTGACATGGTTTGACCATATTCAAATTAAAATATGTATTTCTCAAATATTGTTTAAACATGATTAAAATTAAATTTAGAACGATGTTTCAAAACGTAATATTGAACTTATTAGGTTGTAAGAGGGGAGCCACAAAAACCCCATTTTACATAAAAGAGTCATCATATTCATAGATGATAAATTATAATATTATCTTTATTTTAAAAAGGGTTAGTACATGATTTCTTAGTTTGCGTCCGAGAAAAATTCGGTCGTCAGAGGACAGTCGGCTATCTGAAAAAAGTCAGTCGTCGAAGAAAAAAGGTAGTCTGATTCGACGGGATCAAACTGCAGGTGTGATTTTGAAGACGATTACTTTGATAAGCATCATTACATTTTCAAGCAATACACTAAATATTTTTTTAAATAAAATAAATTACTAAAATTACAGTAATCCGGCCTCAATGCATGAAAATTTTCAAGATGAAAATAGATGATCCATAATAAAATAAAAAATTTTAATTATTAATTTTCCATCACTTACACTTTAGAATCAAAATAAAATAAAATAATCCATAATAAAAATAATCAATTCTTGAGCTCATATTTTTCAAAATAAAACTTTTCAATAATTATTTCTTGAGCTCATATTTTAAAAAAAAATTATTATTAATATTATTATCATTTTTTTATTCTTTTATAAAAAAAAATGAACGCCTATCTCGGACAGGTGGAGCTGACGTGGAGCCGACACGCTTATAGAAAATATCTCCCGATAAATATTATTTATTTATTTATTTTATAAAAATATTATTATTCATTGTATCAATTATCTCCTCGTTCCCGTCCATCTTGCAATCTCTCTCTATCCGTTCCACACAGAACCCCAATGGGTACCACCGCAGCTCTCTGCTCTCTCCTCACTCCCTCTCTTCTTCCGCCCGCTATAAATCTAAATCCCTCCTTCCTCCGCCTCCTCCCTAAATCCCTCTCTTCCTCCTCCTTTTCGATCACCTGTAAGGCGAGCATTCGATCCCATTTCCATCTCACTTTTCTCAACCCCTTAATCCACTGAACCTTTTGACGCATAATTTCAGAAACGGATGGTGATTCGATTTTGCTGTGAAGAAGATGATCCGAGTACGATTTCATCTTCGATTAGGGGTTCTGAGAGGAGGCTGGTGGTTAATGGCCGCACCGTCCTGTCTTCCGTGCCGGAAAATGTGATTTCGAGCTCCGTTGTCAGGTCCGGTACTGTGGAGGGCGTGTTTCTTGGAGCGCATCTCGCTGAGTCCAGCTCCCGCCATGTTTTTTCTCTCGGAATCCTCAGGTTCTGCGTTTTTTTATATTTCTGCTGAATTTGTTGATTTGGGAGTTTCATATTTGGGAGATTTTGTGATTCTGTAAAGAAACTGGAGTTGGAGTTGTGGTTTTGTTGTTTTGGAAATCGGAACGAGTTTTAGTTTGTTATAATTTGCTCAGAAAACTGTTCGTCTCATTATAACAGATCTGGATCTGAACAATGAAGCAAGTAGCTGATCAGGAAAAGCATCAGCAAATTCTTGATTGATAACTTCGATTTTATGAGATTTTATTATGTTATTTTTAGGATATTACGCCAAACAGCTCGATTATGTTGAATTCAGTAAATTAAAAATCAAGTACTATATAAGTCAAGTGACGTCGAATTTTGTTCTACTCATTCACTTCACTATTATAAAACATAGGAGGATATGTATTTAAATATCTAACACTTGGAATTTTTATCAATATTTAGTGAAAATAAATTGTGCCAAACAGTTTTTGGATTTCTAAATTTAGATTTAGAAAATTTAGTAACTCCCACTTAGCTAAATTCCGGTTGAAGCCAATCAGCTCCTTGTCATATTGATGCACGATTTATGATGAATTCAGGGAAGCGAGATTCATGGCGTGCTTCCGCTTCAAGCTATGGTGGATGGCGCAAAAGATGGGGAACAGAGGAGCAGAGATACCCTGCGAAACACAATTCCTACTTGTGGAGAACAGGCCAGAGAACGAAGAGAACACGGACACCTCATACTCCGTCTTCCTTCCCATCCTCGAAGGCCCCTTCCGAGCTTCCCTTCAAGGAAACCCTAACGATTTCTTGGATCTATGCATCGAAAGTGGCGACGCAGAGATCTGCACTGCCGACTTCTCCCACGCCGTCTTCGTCGGCACCGCCGTCTCCGACCCCTTCGCTGCAATCACCGGCGCAGTTCGCGTCGTCAAATCCCATCTCAAAACCTTTCGCCTTCGTGAGGAGAAGCGCGTTCCGGCGATCGTTGATTTTTTCGGATGGTGTACCTGGGACGCCTTCTACCAGGATGTCACTCAATCCGGCGTCGAAGCCGGTCTTCACAGTCTCATCTCCGGCGGCGCGCCACCGAAATTTGTCATCATAGACGATGGCTGGCAATCCGTTGAATCCGATAAAGCATCTCCGAAGGAAAACTCATTGCCCCGGCTTATTGGGACTAAAGAGAATAACAAGTTCGAGAGTATGAAATCCATGGTTTCGAGGGCGAAGGAGAAGTATGGGCTCAAATACGTTTATGTTTGGCACGCGCTCGCCGGATATTGGGGCGGAGTTCAGCCTGGAGCGCAAGGAATGGCGGATTTCAAGTCAACCATACAGTACCCAAAGATCTCACCTGGTGTTGCAGAGAACGAGCCATGGATGAAATCAGATATACTCACCTTGCAAGGCCTTGGGTTAATGGACCCCAAGAGTGTTCACAAGTTCTACAATGAGTTACACAGCTATCTCGCAGTCATCGGCGTTGATGGGGTCAAGGTAGATGTGCAGTCCATTCTGGAAACGCTTGGCACCGGCCATGGTGGTCGAGTGGAGCTTGCGAGACAGTACCACCATGCACTCGACGCATCCATTGCGAAAAATTTTCGTGATAATGGGTGCATTGCCTGTATGTGCCACCACACTGATGCGCTCTACTGGTTAGTTTCAATCTTATTTTTCCATATTTTAGTTTTTGAGTTTTGTGTTAGGACTGTTGTATGTAGATTTGGTGTTTGATGAAATACCAGTGCGAAGCAGACAGCGGTGGTGCGAGCGTCAGATGATTTCTATCCTAGGGATCCGGTTTCACATACCATTCACATTGCGTCTGTGGCATTTAATAGCGTTTTCCTTGGGGAGTTTATGGTTCCCGACTGGGATATGTTCCATTCCCTTCATCCGGCTGGTGAGTTCCATGCGTCGGCTCGTGCTATCAGTGGCGGCCCGGTTTATGTTAGGTGAGTGCTTGGAAACTTTTTTTTCTTTTTTGTGAAAATTTGATGCCAATGAAAGTATTTATATGAAAAATGTTTGAAAGATTAACCTACATACAGTTTAATTCTTATGTATTTACATATCTAATGCGTAAACTTTAATTTTTATGTTTATGCCTCCTTACATATGGATGAAAAGGTGTATTTGATTTTTTAAAAGTTACACTAGTAGTATGTTTTATGTGATATGAAATATTTGGATCATATAATGTAAAGAAGCAAAGTTTAGGTGTTAGATATGTAAATACATAAGAATTGGGTGGTATGTATTTAAAGCCCCCTAAAGTTTTATCTATTCAATGTTTTACTTGATTAAAATTTGGTTTCTTTATCTTTTTGGTGAATACTTGTTTAATAGGGTTTTTTTTTTCATCAAAACATTTGAAATATAGCAGCTCGTCCTAGTTTATTGGTTGAGAGCTCAGTCTTCCAATTGAGAGGCCACGTGTTCGAGATTTTGCACATGAATGTGTGTGAGTTTACAATTAAGTTCACTCAAAGTCTAAAAAAAAAGGAAGATTTACATGCACACCACTCAATTCTTATATATTTTGATACTTAACACAAACTTCTTTTTACTTATATGCCACCTTATCTATGCATGAAGAGATGTATTTCACTTTTTAAAAGTTAAAATAGTGATATTTTTTGTGTGATATGATAGGTCTTGGCATTATGTACACAATTGCCCCTAAAAAAGTATGAAATTTATTGGAAACTTATGAAATTGTAAGTTCTAACCCAAAATATATTGAAACTAATGAAATTGTATTTTCATCCAGAATTCCCTTTAGTACTTAAGATATACCTGGATAATTGCTAATCAATTCTTCATACATATAAAGAAATTTGAATCTGGAAATGAAACTAAAATCAAAACTATTGCTGGCAAGTATTAATTATCCTTGTGTACATTCAAGTTTACTTGAATTCCAGTCCTAAACTTAATTGGAATGGAACAGTGATGCTCCTGGTAAACACAACTTTGAGCTCCTGAAAAAATTGGTCCTGCCTGATGGATCCATCCTTCGTGCCCGTCTGCCCGGCCGTCCCACATTGGACTGCCTCTTCACCGACCCCGCTCGTGACAACGTAACACTCCTGAAGATCTGGAATATGAACAAGTTCACCGGTGTGCTCGGGATCTACAACTGCCAAGGCGCGGCCTGGAGCTCTACCGAGAAGAAGAACACATTCCACTCCACAAACTCGATGACGCTAACCTCCACTATCCAGGGAAGCGACATCCATCTTAT